GCAGGTTGATGGGATTTCCATCTATATATATATATATTTGAGTTTCTTTAGATGCTCCACAGTAGCTAGATATTTCAGACTCTAGACTTATATTTTTATTTTGTAGAGGCTGAATGCCTTAGTGAGATTTATTCAACTCTTTATTCTGATAAAATGATATATTATTACAGTTTAGAGATATTCTTATTCTATTTCAGTTGAGATTATTTGTTGATTATTTCTCATATAATTCTTCTGTGCATATTTTGTTCTTGTACTATTTCTATTATTTGCCTATTTTGTACCTTCACCTATTTGTTGATTCTACTAGAGAGATAGTAACAGTGATGGTGAAACATGTCGTAGCATTATGGTGTTGATGCTTGGTAGGTTTGATAATCTGGGTTTCACCTTGGACTGCAGCCTTGTGTGAACCATGGAGCATCACAGTCTTCCACGTCCATGTACCCATAGGCCTTAGCCATTAGCTACTTATAGCTGGTGACTTATTTTTTAACAAACGAGTCAGTTAGCTTATTTCTCTCCAGGCTGACCATAACAATGGACATCGCAACTACGCTGCCAGGGTCATCGACTTCCAGTCTTTTGGTCTGGTCTTGAAATAGTCCCTGAAGCTCTCTCGGCTCTTACCTCAACTACATCAGAACATGGGGAAGCAGATTCGGCTTGGTGTTAGCTAGGAAGTGGTGCATAAACTTTTATATGAGCTGCTCAAAGCTGTTGATGGACTTCTTGGGCAAGGAGTTCCACCATAACTTGGCTTTTCCCGACAAAGTCATCGGTAAACATCTACAAATGATAGGCACTAATACCTGTAGCATGGTCGTCATATCATAATAATTCTGAGTATGCTTGGCTAGATCTCCTTCCCCTTTGTATTTCTCCATGTGAGACATCTTGAATTTGTCACAAGTAGCATTCATGATGCTATCAGTGAGGGGAGTGTCCCCCCTATGGCCCTAGAGATTGGCTGAAAGGTCCGGATATAACCAGAAATAAGATTAGTGGTCGAGGGGCCTAGAGAGGTACGAGGAAGCCAGAGGCCGCGTGATGCCACCCCTATAGCGCACTCTTGGCCATCATGACCGAAACTAGGGCTTTCCTCAGTTGCTTCCATGTACTGCTGATGCTTCCAAGGAGGGGCCGCAAAAGGAGTTTGCTAGTGATTGTGGGAGAGAGACGTGCTCGACATAGTCTTCTTGCTGTCCAGCCTGGGCTGCATGCCTAGGCTATAAGAGTACGAATGGTTAACTCACTGTAGGTGGAGGAATGAATGATCATGAGGGTTGTTAAGGAGGAATTCGATTGAGGAACTCATTGGTGACAACAGCAAATTATTACTATAGAGATTGAGAGATCCTCTGGGCGGCTTCTTCCGACTAGGCCTGAGTAATATAGCCTGCCCGCGATTCCTCAGGGAGTGGGTCGAAAGTTCGACCAGGATGCTCAGAACCCAACTTCTCCTATGAAGAAGGATGACAAACGCCACGGTGGGCGCCAAACTATTGATGTAAGTTATTTAAAAGGGGGTTTAGTTATGGATTAAATAGAGTTAGGGTCCTCAAACTCCTTTAGATGATTAGCTCTGTAGATCACTATTCTTTCTTGCACATGAAGAACTCGTAAGAGGTCGGAGTTGGGTTCTCCGGTTGTTCCTCCAGCGATCAACTTAATATATAAACTTGAGTGGGAAAATGTGAGATGATGAAGAAGGTTTCAAAGTTGTGTGAAAAGACCAGATAGCTACCTTGAGATGAATGTCTTCCTTTTATAGAGGATCAGAATAGTAGATAGGTAACTTAAGCCAAGTCCAGGTAGGCAGTTGACTCGGCAAATAGCTGACCTGACAGGTGTCGGTAGCTAGCAAAGATGGGTTATCTAGGTGGTTAGTGAAAAGCGATTGCATGTGCTTGGTGCTGACGAAGCTTGATGAGTCATAAAGAACTTTGGGGCTGGAGCAATGATGATTTCTGATTGTGCATTTAATGTAATAGTGACTGGATGTTAGCGGGGGGCTCGAGGATGACCACTTTTTAACTAATATGGCTGAAGGACGATAAGCACCACCTTTTTAGTCGGCTACGTAAGTTGTCGGCTGATGTTGCAGGCTGTGTGGAGGTGTTCATAGGATCAATCGGGTGGCTCGGCTGATAAGTACTGCCTCTTTAGTCGGTCTTGAAAGTTCTCAACCTGGACTGGAAAGAAGGGACGCTGCTTGGTTGGAAGGGGTGACTCGGCCTGGCAAGAAGGGACGTCTGTCTCGGTCTAGCGAGAAGGGACTCTTGTCTAGGCCTGGTGAGAAGGAATGTCTGTCTCGACATGGCGAGAAGGAACACTTTGCTCGGCCTGTCTAGGTTGGCTTGGGGTGTAGTCTGCTTGAGACATGTGTCAGCCAGTTGAATATTGATCATCACTTATTTCTATGACACAACACTAGTGAATTATAGTATATGTCTTATTGAAATGAACACGATATTATACTCCTTAAATTCATCTTTACAAATCTGATCAAAATACATGAGATGAAAGTAGATTGCTTGATTTCAAATGTAAAATTAGATAATTTGAGTTAGACCGTTTTCCTTAGACAACATGAAATTTAAAAAAAAATTCAAAATAAGGATGTGGATAACATTTACTTAAAGATTTAAATTCAAAATTAGACAGCTTAACCACAAATATCTTCTTAATAATATCCCTATTTGTTTACAATATTCTAAAATAAAATAGGAAAAGTCATCGTCTTAATTACTCTGGAAAGTTCTTAATTTTCATAGAGGGAAATAATTTAGAATCTTTGCATGTGGTAGAACTTTAGGTTGAATTTTTTTTTTACTTTGTTACACTGTGTTAATGTTTGGCAAGTATTGCCCCGAGATGAAATTAGTAAGTTTCTTTACGGACAAAAGAGTCAAAAACTTTACTTAGGGGTTCATCTATATTATACTGCTTACAAAAGAGGATGATGGTGTCACAACTTTTGATTGCCCAAAATGGCCCTCAAGAATCATCCAAATCATCATACTAAACTCAAAGTTTCATTCAATCTTATACCTTATAGTACTATATCATTGAACTAATTATAATTAAAAAGCAATCTCTTTATTAAAAAACTATTCAAATTATCAAGCATGCATATATAGTTCATAATTCGAATTGATTACATTATGCATTGCTCCAAAAACAATTCCACCAATGGAGTAATGAGTATCATATCACGTAAGGGAGATTCTTCATATATAGCAATGTGTTGAATCTCAGGTATCTTTATTATCCCAGGTATCTTTATTATCACATACTTATAAATGATAATCCTCAAATACCTAAGATTTTAAGGTATTTCGTCAGAAACCCTAAAAAGAATTGAGCCAGGACCACCAGAGCAGCTAAGATTGGGATTGGATTCAGGTGCAATCTATAGATGCACCCAGCTACCGAAGCGCGGTCCCATAATGGTGGTTTAGGTGCACCCAGATACGCATATGGAATTGGGGGATCACGCTACAACATTAGAAATGCTAGGGGCACACTCACAAACACAATCTTAACCACACCTCCTCTCCCTCTATAGTGTATTGGGCTCCACATCAAATTTTTTAAAAAAATTTGATGTGAGACCCAATGTACTATAGAGGGAGATGAGGTATGGTGAAGGATGTGGTTGGGGGTGTGTCCTAGCACCACTCCTGCAACATACGCATGGACCCGTCACATTTAAAAACTTTTAATTTATTATATTGAGACGACATGTGCGTCCAAAAGCCAGTGAACCAAACCAACTGGGCTTTTTGGTCTTCAACGTTCTCTTTCTTCTCGAGATCCCCTTCTTTCTCATTTTAATCATATCCTCTCTTTACTTCGCTTTTGCTGCAGGCTCTGTCAGCCTTCTGCCAAAACCGCAGGCCCAACGTTTTAAATTTATTTTAACTTTATAACTTTTTTTAAAAAAAAACATTTTATGGGAGTATATTTTTCAAAGCTTTCATATAAACCCTTCAAACGCATTTATTGTCAAAATTACTATTCAAATCATAATAGCTAGGACTTAAATACGGGTTATATCATTAATGCCTCATGGACCTAAATAAGAGACCCAAGACATGGGACATGTGAGGTGTCAACATCCGGTTGCATGATGCACTGTTCATGAACAGTGCATCATGCAACCGGATGCATCCGGTTGCATGATGCACTGTTCATGAACAGTGCATCATGCAACCGGATGTTGACACCTCACATGTCTCATGCCTTGGATCCCCTATTTGGGTCCCTGTAGCAACACACCGGTTATATTGTAACTACACCGGATGACCTTGAAATTTGTGTATGCATACGAGTAATTCTTATATTAATTATTGTAATTACACGGTAAACCCTAGAGTCTAACGGAAGATTAACGCCATCTTTTTCGGATTCGGATCATCTTCACTACAAAAAAAATAGTGGAGGGACCACTACATAATCACAGTCATTGATTATCTAGTTAATGGTTATGATTTTTTCTTTTAGTGCAAATTAGGAATGAGTGCAATACACGGGGGTATGGTAAGTGTTAGATTTAGATTGTATCATAACCGCCTACTAAATAATTAATGCTTGAGATTAAAAGTAGTGGTCTCTCCACTACTTTTTTGTAGTGGAGAGGATAATTAATGCTTGAGATTAAAAGTAGTGGTCTCTCCACTACTTTTTTGTAGTGGAGAGGATCCAAATCCATCTTTTTCTTCCCCTTGTCTGAAGTGGACTTTTTTTGATGTAATCAAGTTAATGTTAGAGTTAGAATTAGGGATAGTATTAGGATTATGATTAGAGCAAAGATTATGACTGTTAGAGCTAGAATTATTAACTCTAACCATAACCAGCACACTTTAGAGTCAGCAGTGTAATTTACAGTAGCAATTTAATTGTAGGTTCGCCACCGTATTTCACTGCTCCGTATGAAAGATATATATATGAGAAAATTTGAAGGATTCAACAACAATTGATATATGGCTTTAGGGGGCATAGACCAGAAAAAGAGAACTCCCTAGGATTTACTCCGCCCAATTGCCCAATGTAACCCGCAACAAGCAACTCTGGCGGGTCCCACATGACAGCGGTGAGATTTGTTTGGAACCCATGTGGGGCTCTCTCTCTCTCTCTCTCTCTCGTTCGCTGCGCCCAGTGCCTAAAAGAGACGCAGGATCGATGTCTCGCATTGCTTTGCTCAACGCCAAAGAGGCAGAGAGCAGCACTGTAGCCCATCACGCGGTGGGAGCTCCCTCTGATCTCTCGTAAACTGCAACCACCACGAGCATCACCAGTGTACTGTAGCTAGGTAGCACTGGAGAGCATGATAATAGCTGCTCTTTAAATTGCTGCTCTCTTCTTCTCTCTGGCTCTTTTATACTCTTTCATGCTCTCCCTAGCATTTGGGAGGCAAGCTGGTAAACGCTCAGGTTCAGTAGCTAGCTAGCGATCATCATGGGGAAAAGGGGAGGTGGGAGCTCTTGGCTCACCGCCGTCAAGAGAGCCTTAATTAGATCCCCTTCCAAAGACAAGGACGATGAAGAAAAGGTACTCGTTTCAGTTTCATTCCCTCTTAATACTTATATATACTACTCTCTGCTTCTTACGGTTCCTCCTAAATTTAGTCCTTTTCTTTCTTTTTTTTTCTTTTCTCGTCGTCGTTGTTGTTGTTGCTGCTGCTAAACAGAAGAGGGAGAAGAGGCGATGCTAATTTCGAAGACAGCGAGCCAGGATCAGCAGCTGCCAGCAAAGACTGGCACCACCAGCCGCAGCGACTGTGACCTACGACAAAGGCACGCTATCGCCTGGCCGTTGCCTACTGTCTGCGACAGCAGAGGCCGCTGTTGCTACCGCTCAAGCAGCGGCAGAGGTTGTGAGGCTCACAAGGCCCAGTCCCGTCTTCATCAAGGAGCACCGTGCCGCCGTCTCGATCCAAACTGCATTTAGGGGGTATTTGGTACGCTCTGCTTCCGTGCTGTTATTATTTCGTCATTATGATCTCCTTCATTTTCTTTTACTGATGGGAGGGTTTTTGGGTTCCCCCCTTCGAGCGAAGGCGAGGAGAGCACTGAGGGCGCTGAAGGGGTTGGTGAAGCTGCAAGCTCTAGTGAGGGGTCACAATGTGAGGAAGCAAGCTAACATGACACTTCGATGCATGCAAGCGCTCGTTAGAGTTCAAGCCAGAGTAAGAGACCAAAGGATGAGGCTGTCTCAGGATGGCGTCGGGTGTAGTAGTACTAAATCTTCGCTTAGCTGTGATACTTCCATGTGCATGGACTCCAGATATCTACAAGAGTTGGCCGAGCGCAGATCCATGGTAACATTCTACATCAAATCCTATAGTCGGTCTAAATTTCTATTTTTTTTTAAGTGTTTGATTCGAATCGACCATGCCTAGCAGTCGAGTGGCTTTGCCGCCGATGATTGGGATGACCGTCCGAGGACGATCGAGGACATCCAAGCGATGCTGCAGAGCAGGAAAGAGGCTGCCCTCAAAAGAGAAAGGGCTCTCTCTTACGCATTCTCACATCAAGTTAGTCACTTAATTGGCCTACTAGATTCCCCCCTGCTTAATTTGCTAGTTACTCATTATGATTGCTCTGTTTTTTTATTTTTTTTTGAAACCATCAACGTAGGTATGGAGAGCAGATAGGAATCTGTCTCAACCCCTCGCAGAAGACGAAGAAATGGAAGCAGAGCAAGAGCCCCCGCGCTGGCTCGACCGGTGGATGGCATCTCGATCCTCCTTCGCAAACCACAGAAGCAGCAGCAGGTCAAGAACCTCAACGGACCACCGAGACCCGATTCAAAAACCCTGGAATGTTGACACCGGCCTCCTTACTCCTACTCGACTCCCACAGCAGAAGGCAACATCCAGCCTCATCTCCCCTCCACAAAGCCCCACCAGTACCCCATCACCCCCTCCCCTGAAAGCTCGGCCAATTCCAAGTCCGGTCGGCGAGTCCCGGTGCAACCGAGGACCGTCGACCGGGCTCGGTTGTCCTCCACCGCCCAGCATCACGTGCCTTCTACAACTACAACGGGAATGCGAGTCACAAGACACAGCAGGCAACGATGCGACAACTACATGGCCGCGACAGAGTCGGGCACGGCAGTGTCCGGTTCGAGAGCGCGCCGAGCAGGAGGCGCCACCCCCGAGCAGACCGCGTCGGCCGGTCGGTCAAGAAGCGGCGTGTCATTCCCGGTGCCGCCCAGACCCATGTTACAGCAGTCAGAGTGCAGCTTGCGGAGCCGCGAGCTTCAGAGAGCGCCGCGGGACGGTTTGAGCGAATGTCCGAATGCGCGTCTTCCTGTGGCGTGATTCTATCCCGTCCGTCGGGCGATGGATCTGAGGAGGTGGCTGAGATGAAAATAATTTCTGGCTTACCCACCCATGAGCTAAATTTGTTTTTAGTAGCTAGCTAAGTTTGTGATGCTTGTATTAATTAGAGAGATTGTAGAAGGCTAGAGTTGCAGTGCTTGAAAGGACTGAGAGGTGAGGAAATTAAAGAGGCTTTGGGATGTAACTGAAATTGTTATGGGAAGCAATCGAATCCCTCTCTGTTTTTGATCCAAATAACGTGCGGGGTGTAGTCACATCTTGCAGCTGCTGCTGCCGCCGGCCATTGTCAAGTTACTGTTCCATTTTTTCTGTGGATCTCCGGGGTTTGGGTCATTTTTTGGGCCAGTGTCAGCCTCGTGCAGGGGAACTATTATTGGTCGCTACAGTGCGTTTCATTTTCCTCGACTGTTCCATGACAGCTACCTGTTGTTTGTTCGGAGCATAATATGGGCTCATGTCAATCTGTGTTTTTCTGTCCATGTTTGATCGTTTAGGGGCTGTTTGGTTGTATGTTTTTACCATGTAAAATGATGGAAAGTGTAAAAAAGTGGGTCTCAATGTCAGCTTTCATCACTTTTAATTGTTTGTTTGTAGTTGTGAAAATAGTATAAAGTGATTTCATATGCTGATGTGGCTTGTAAAGTGATTTCATAAAGAGCTTTGCTACAGGGACCCAAAATATGGGACCAATAAAGGGGACAAATGAGGTGTCCCCCTCTTATTGGATAATGAGTTGGCCATCATTAATGATGGTCAACTCATTATCCAATAAGAGGGGGACACCCCACTTGTCCCCCCTATTGGTCCCATATTTTGGGTCCTTAAAGAATTTTTCTTTCATAAAAAAGACATGATTTTAGGAGAAAGCTAACATTAAAGTCAGGAAAAAATAATAAAAAATAATTCCAACCAATATGATCATTTGAGTAGGGACCACTTTTTACACTTTCCAAACAAACAATTAAAGTTATATTTACAAACCAAACAAGCAATTTATGATTCCAATGGAATCAAAAACAAACAAAGAAAAATATAAAAGTAAAATTGATGAGGTGGACAACAACTTTCCAAGTTATATCATAAATACACAACTTTACCAACAACAACCAAACAGCCCCTTACGGGGTGAAACTTGCAATACCGAAGTGTCAATTTTATATTTGTTTAATTGTGAATGATCTACATACAAGTGGGAATATATATATATTATAGGGAAGGTAATTTTTGCACATACTCATTTACTCACCTAGCCCGCCCATCACTTAGCCTATCCAAAACCCACCCATTTAGTTAAATGGGTCTAATCGGGCGGGTTTATCTCAAATTAGACTAAATGGGTACTAAACGGGCATTATCTACTCACCCATTTACCCGCCCGCATTCCCAAAACCAAAACCAAAACCCGTCGGCCTTCACCTTCGGTCTTCAGCCTTCAGCCAGCAAAACCCTAATCTCTCGCTCCCGCTCCCTCCTCTCGCGCGTCGCGTCGGCCTGCGATTCCCGCGGCGACCTCGCCGGAGTTCGCCGGCATCCGCACCATCACTGCAAGCTCCCCTCCTTCCACATTGTAAGGCTCGCGATCGCCAGCAGAATCTGCGCCAAAGATCGATGATCCTCTGCCTATCGCCAATGGAGTCCTCATCGAGCAACAGCGAAGCGATCTCCAAGCGCCAGTAGTGAATTCCCCTCTTGCCCCTCTTCCCATCTGTAAGCGATCGCTCTGCCCTCTGCCATCGCCATGTGAGCTTCTCAATTTTATTGCTTTTATGTCAAATTGAGTTTACTTATTGTTCTTAGGGATTTTTAGATTGAATTGAGAAATTGAAGAATGAAAAGGAGAAATTGAGGGGAAAAGGAGGAATTTTATTAACATCAAGACAAAACCCTTATTTTTAAATTTAACCTAAATCCCCTAATTTTTGCAGTTGATCGAGATGTCCCAAGACTTGGTCGAACTAGAGGACGAAAATTGTAACTTCTCCAGATCGTAATCAGGTATATCCCCTTCTCTTGAATTCAAAGTCATAAAGTTAGTTTCATTTTCTTATGAAACAAATTTTCTTTTGTTATATAAAACCTATTTGAAATTATTCAAAAAAGATGGGTTCTTTTCGAGTTCTTCTCTTCTATTAGCATGTATCTGAATTTCTAAAATTTGCCATGTTCTTAGCTTTGACGTGAAAATTATCTGAATTTCTTTTGTCTTTTTTTTAAATAGATTACTCTGTCATATTTTTTCCCCTGAATTTTTTGCCATTAATATGTGAGACTTTATATTACATATTCAAAGAGAGCATAAAAGAGATCACACAACTGTAAATAAGGTGATCCAGTGATGTTACAATAGTGTGCCTGATATTCTCATGTGCAGTAAGTGAATCTTTTTTGGATCTAGGTCTTTACCCTTTTACATTCTTTGTTCGAAGATAACCCCCTCCTTATTTTCATTTTCTCTTTCATATAACAATAGGATTTGTAGAAAGAATAGACAATCTCATTATCTGACAATCTCACTCTGCAAATGCCTGCATTATAAGATTATGTAAGAAATAAGATACCTGCAACTAGAACTTACTAACAAGAATACAATTTCACAAAAGCAGAATGTACCACTGGAACATGCCTTAAAGCTAGGACACATTAGTCCATCATCTGTAACTACTTCATACAAAGGGTGCAACACTTGGAAAAAATTCAGGCTTTCTTGCTGAGACAATGACCTGTGAAATGTCCATAGGACATTTGTTAAATAAGAACATCTTCACTAAAGTCTTGTTGCTAATATGATTGCTTGATTGATTCATAGAATCATACTATTGAACTAGATAATGCACGTGAAACTAAGTTGCAGTTAAATATTCTCATAAACCTATTGAAGGCATAATGCATCATCTTATTCGTGTAATGATAGTCTGAGTTGGCCATTATCTCACTCTGCAAGATCACCCAGCAAACATCTATCAGTGGCCAAAGAGAAATTATTGAATATAATGAATGTGAATGTCACCTTAAGTTGGCCTTCAACATGTGCTCTGAAAAGGGCTTTAGAAACAGCCTGAAATAAAAAGCAGCATTGTAAGATTATAGCTATACATATTATAGTTAATAAGTTCAGTGTGTTGCCTTGAAAAGCCTTTTATAGTCAAATGGTCCAAGTTCAGATGATATAGCCCCTTGATCCAATCTGTCAACCATCTGTCAACCAGATGATATAGCCCTTTATAACAAGATATAAGTTGCATCATTACGTGGTTAAATGCGCATGTTTTACCTAATGTATTTTTGTTCATGGTTGTTATTTGTCATATGTTTTCTGTCACTTTTATTTTGCTCGTTTGAAATTTAAATGTTTCTTTAGTATGTGTTTGCTACCTAAAATTGATGTGCTATTATATTATTTTTTCAGCTATCATATCTTTAAATGATCAATTTAGCATTCATGATGATGGTAGTGGTGATGAGAGTACTTCTAAACGTAAAAGAAGACAAACATCAAAAGTTTGGGATCACTTTACAAAGTTACCTATCGATAATGATGAGAAAACTAAAGTTCAATGTAATATGTGTAATCATATTTATGTTGGTGGTCACGGCACTAAGACAATGTTGAGGCATATGGATTCTTTCCCGAAAAGGAACATAGATGAGGCTGATTCTTCAAGGAAAGTTATGCCACTAAATCAAGAAAAATATAGATAAATGCTTGCTAGAGTAATTGCATTGCATGGTTATCCATTCACTTTTGTCGAACATCGAGGACACCGTGAGTTACATAATTTTTTAAATTCTAAAGTCAAGCATATTTCTCGGAATACTGCTAAAACAGATTTGGTCAAGTTGTACAAGAAAGAGAAATAAAATCTTAAACAGGTTTTAAAGCTAGTTCCTAGTAGAATTTGTCTAACCACGGATTTATGGACCTCTTCCACCTCCAACTACTATATGTCTCTCACCGCACATTATGTTGATAACTGTTGGATGTTGCAGAATAAGATATTAGCTCTATCTCATGTTCCACCCCCATATAGTGGAGAAATTTTAGTAGAGAAGCTATTTCATTTGTTGAAGGATTGGGGTATTAAAAAAAGAATTTTTACTGTTACTTTGAATAATGCAGCATATAATGATGTTTTCATAAGAATTTTAAAAGACCATCCAGTTTTAGAAGATCATTTTGTTAGTAATGGTGATTTTTTACATGTGCGGTGTTGTGCTCATATTCTAAATATTATTATGCAAGAGATAAATCATTGTCTAAGATAAGAGAATGCATCAAGTATGTGAAGAGTCCTCCTAGAAGAAAAAAGAAGTTTGCAGAGTGCATTGCACAAACTTGTTCAGGTAAAGCGAAAAAAAATTCAACAGGATGTGTCCAACAGGTGGAATTCTACGTTTCTAATGTTGGAGAGTGTTTTGAACTTTCGTCGGGCATTTAAGCAATTGGAGTTGATTGATCCAAATTTCACTTTTTTGCCATCAAGTGAAGAATGGGTAAAGGTTGAAAAAATTGCAAAGTTTTTGAAACCTTTTTATGAAGTGTCCACTCTTTTTTTGGAAGTAAATATCCAACTGCCAACTTATATTTTGATGGAGTGTTTAAGATTCAAAAATGCATAATGAAGGAGATGAAAAGTGATGATCAAGATATAAAACCCATGGCAAATGATATGAAAATAAAATTTGATAAATATTGGGAATGTTACAGTGTTATTTTGTCATTTGCAGTCATTTTAGGCCCCCGATACAAGGTGAAGTATGTAGAGTTTTGTTTTGAGAAATTAGGAGTTAGTTCTGATTATGTGTTGACTATCTTAGAGAAACTGAGAAGTCTTTACAAAGAATACGAGCGATCATCTCTAGGTACATCTATTGTAGAGAGCAGTGGTGAAGAGAATATTGGAGATGTTCCTAATGATGAGATGGTTGAGTTTTAACAGTTTGAGAGTCAACTATATTCGGTCAGTGGGTCCAAGTCGTAGTTAGAAGAGTATCTAGATGAAAAATTAGTTAGTTGGAAGAAAAATGATAATTTGAATGTTCTCGAGTATTGGAAAGGCGAATGCGAGAAATGCCCTTAGTTGTCGATGATGGCTCGAGATATATTGAGTATTCCTATTACTTCGGTGGCATCTGAATCGGCTTTTAGCATTGCGGGTCATGTGCTTGACAAGTATCAAAATTTTCTTCTTCCGGAGAATGCTAAAGCTCAAATTTGCACTGGTTCTTGGTTTGGCGGGATTCCTTGTGAGTTACCTTCTTTTTTTTTCTTTATTGCTTTTTTGTATTGTTGTGGACTACATATTTTATCACAGAATATTAATATTATTTTTTCTTATTAAATGCAGCTCTGACAGACATTGAAGAAGAAAATTTATTAGTACATGATTTCAGTAATTTAGAGGTTTCTGAATCGGAAGGCGAAAGTGATTAAGGTAAGATTTTACTTGTTCCATAAAATTAGTGTACATCATAAACTTGCTTTTCTAATGCTGTTGGCAAAATATTGATTGTTGTTCTAATATGTATTTATTTCTCATAAGTTTATGTTTCCACAATAATATAAAATGAAGAACTTCTCACTCTTTTGCTACCTAGTTTTAGTTAGCAATGATGCATACAGCCCATGTGTATGCTAGTATTTAAGAACAACTACTGTCAGAAACATCTTTACTGATTATTTAGTACACTGACTATTGGTTACAACCATTCGTTGTAATCTTCTAGTGGATGAATTGATTAAACATTGGTTTCCTTGCTTCTGATAGGATGCTAGTGTTGCAATTCTTTCCTGAGGCCAAGAAAGAGAAATTGGTTTCCTTGCTTCTGATAGGATGCTAGTGTTGCAATTCTTTCCTGAGGCCAAGAAAGAGAAATGAGGAATGGCGGCAAATGCTCTGACTCCACTTGTGTAAAATGATGGTCGATGCTTGTTTATTCACATTATTATGCAGTTGCGATAGCTCCATAATGTCTATTAACCGATATTTATACATCAAAATGTATATAGCTATTCTTTTAACTAATTCTATGGATGATTGATGCAGGGGAAATATTGAGGTCTCTATGGTGATTTTGGATTCTAACCCTTGCTATGAAGACGCACATATGAGGCTTGCTGCAGTACTCTTAATGTTGCTATTGAGTCCAACTGAGTGTTATATTTATTTCCTGGTCTTTTCTTTCTTCTGTCATGATCCTGTTCATGCCTGAACATTTGAAAGATGGGAAATAAGTGGATTATGGTTGTGCTACTATTTTGTTTATAGACGAACTTACTACTCTTCTACTTTATCAAGTAATTAAGTAGATTGTTCTTACTAATCGTGATCGTGTTGCTGATAGTTATGATGATATTTATATCAAGTTATTGATCTTATACAGATCCTTACATCCTTGTGTTTTCTATCTTAATTCATTTAAATATTCTCGCAATTTTTTTATTGATCTTTTGGTTTTCGGTTTGGAAATTTGAGGTTAATTTGTCAAATGTGTGAGGTCTGTACTTTTATCCAGGCTTGTAAATGGTTTAATCATGAACTTGTCTTCCTTTGTTTGTTTATCTTTGTTTATGTTCCTATCTTTGTTAGTATTTTATCAAAAGCCCCAACAAGTTTGCAAAAATCTCCTAAAAAGTTTGTAAAAAAGCCCACAATAGTTTACAAAAAGCCCCCTAAAAGTTTACAAAAAATACCCAAAAAGTATTATACATATAAAGTTACTATAGTTAAATGGGTAAATGGACGACCCGTTTATTAAATGGGTGGGTAAAAACCCGCCCATTTAAATAATGTTAAATGGGCCATAAATGGGTAAATGGGAAAAACATACCCGCCCATTTATGGCCCGCCCATTTAATACCCAAAACCACCCATTTAACATCCCTAAATTATATATATATCTCGCTAGCATTACCCTTATAAAATACTTAC